GGCAAACGCCTTCCAGGCAGAGGGTGTGGTGTTTAGTACTGCGTTATATAGTGAAGTGTTCCTATTGTTAGCTATGAATTTGACGGTAAATGTATGTTTAGTTAAGGTGGTGTTTTGGTCTTTAATTGTTTTTGTAAGCTCGAATTCGGGTATGTTTTTAGAAATCCCTTTAAGTATAATCATTGGGTCTATGCGTTTTTCCTCTTGAGTGTTTATTTTTGTGTTATTTTGTAATCGTGAAATTGTGTGTTGTTTATGCTCTTCTCTTTCGAAAACGAGTTTGATCTTTTGTTTTGAAAGTGGGGTGACCCTTAAAGGGGCGTATCCGCCCTCTCTGAAATTAACGGTTCTACTAATTTGAGTAAGTATCTGTTCTGTTGTGTCTAGACCCTCTCCGGACACGATGATGGAAGGCCCTGCAGGGGGTTTAGGGTGGCGGCGGCCTTAGCGTAAGATTTATAAGTCTTATGCGGGTCCGCCGACACTGGTTGTATCTCCGACGGCGCGGGTTTAGGGGATGCCTTAAGAACCCTGGTGTGTTCCTGCAAGGCCTTATTCGATTCATCGAGTAGCCGAGAGTGGGCCTCGAGTTTCTGTAGTAATTGTGTGGTATGTATGTGTGTATCGGTTGGCGGTGTAGTCGTTGAGGGTGTAATCGTGGCTTTGGTAGCCTGTGGTGTGTGCGGTGCGGGGGCAGGAGGGTTGGGAGGGGTGGTAGGTGAGGGGTCAATGAGGCCGACGACCCCGAAGAGGCCTTCGATTGCCTCTGTGATAGCAGTTTTTAGCTCCCCTTTTAAATTGCGGGAGGCAGCGAGAGCTTGTAGGCCCGTCTGCCTGTATTCTTTGGCCATCTCCATATGAGCCGACTCTGTTGGGCGTTTTACGCGAGTGAAGGCCGGGCTCAACATCTCTACTAAGGTCCGTCTAGCTGGTGTTGCGGACGTAGAGGGAGTAGGGGCTTTGTTTGTTGGTTTGGGTGGAGTTCGGGGTAACATTTTGCTGGTGGAGAGTGAGGGGGGTGAGGGGGAGCTGAAATGTGAACAGGTGTATTCACCTCTTCGAGCTGAGTTGTTTGATACCCAACTCGAGGGGTAGGGGTGAGGGGGGAGATTTTGTAGCAACGGGGGGGAAAAACCTGTTTTGTGGGGTGGAGGGGGGTTTGCGAAAGGAACAATGTACACTATCAAATAGAACTCGCCGAGCCGGTTTAAATAAGCCCAAGCTCGACGGGTTTAGGATAAAATTTAAAAATATTAAAAAATTTATAAATATGGGGCTGGTAATCCACCCTACCTGATGTTTAAGAACAGGATTGCTCAGCAGCTGTTGCTCGTAGGGTAGAGGTGTTTGTTATTTTCTGGTTGCCCTCGGAGAGGACAAGCCGCTGGTTATGGTGCTGGAGCTGTTCCAGCTGGTCACCAGACAATCTGGTGTCCAGTTGGGTGGTTGGTAGAGTTTACTATCTTGAGAATAAGTGGTAAGGTGAAGTCAATTGCTGGCTATTTAACTGTAGTAGACTTGGATTTTTAGCTGGTGTGGTTCCTGTGGAGACCCTGGTTCTAAAGTTGTTTTGGGTCGTATCCTCTGAAGTATACGTCGGATCAATATGTTCTTGGTGTCAGCAGTTGCGCGGTGACGAGCTAGATCTGGCCGTTCTAAGTTCTTAGTGGTGGTGTAATGTCTGAGGGTGGTTCGCCCCCAAAAACTGTTTTCTTGGGGTTTGAGGGGATATTCCTCCTCCGATTTGGACGTCCGATATGTCTTTAGTTGCCTTTCCGTCTAGCGCTTCTAATGAATATAAAATATGGTTCCTATCTCTTAGGGCTGCAGGCTGGGCGATAAAACCCCTGGTTTGGTCTCTAATAAATCAGCCCTAATTCCAAAAATTATAAATTGGATATCAAACGATAGCCCTTGACGAGGACAATCTTTTTAAGCTATAAAAATATGTAGTTATCGATCCAAATTAAAAGTTATTCACCTTTTAAGGGTTTTTGCTCCAGATTATCTTCAATTTTGAGTCCTTATCCTCAAATTTTTTGTCGAAATGTAGAGCTTAATTAGCTCTACAACACTGCACTACTTTTTGATTTTTAAAGTTATAAACACTATTTTTAAAATGGTAAAAACGGAAAATTTTAATGTTTTTTGAAGAAATAAAATATAAAACATAAACTTAAAAAACTGAATTTAACACTAAAAGATAGATCGCGATAGCGCGCATCTAATGATATATAACACTGCACTGATAACTTGCGAAATACCACTTTTAAGATTTTTAGAAACTTTTTAAGGCGCGGAGCGACGTGGATTTTGACTGTTTCGGGTGGCGTTTGGACGCGGACTGGTTAGGTTAGGTTAGGTTAGGTTAGGTTAGGTTAGGTTAGGTTAGGTTAGGTTAGGTTAGGTTAGGTTAGGTTAGGTTAGGTTAGGTTAGGTTAGGTTAGGTTAGGTTAGGTTAGGTTAGGTTAGGTTAGGTTAGGTTAGGTTAGGTTAGGTTAGGTTAGGTTAGGTTAGGTTAGGTTAGGTTAGGTTAGGTTAGGTTAGGTTAGGTTAGGTTAGGTTAGGTTAGGTTAGGTTAGGTTAGGTTAGGTTAGGTTAGGTTAGGTTAGGTTAGGTTAGGTTAGGTTAGGTTGGGTTAGGTTAGGTTAGGTTAGGTTAGGTTAGGTTAGGTTAGGTTAGGTTAGGTTAGGTTAGGTTAGGTTAGGTTAGGTTAGGTTGGGTTAGGTTAGGTTAGGTTAGGTTAGGTTGGGTTAGGTTGGGTTAGGTTAGGTTAGGTTAGGTTAGGTTGGGTTAGGTTAGGTTAGGTTAGGTTAGGTTAGGTTAGGTTAGGTTAGGTTAGGTTGGGTTAGGTTAGGTTAGGTTAGGTTAGGTTAGGTTGGGTTGGGTTAGGTTAGGTTAGGTTAGGTTAGGTTAGGTTAGGTTAGGTTAGGCCAGGTTAGGTTAGGTTAGGTTAGGTTAGGTTAGGTTGGGTTAGGTTAGGTTAGGTTAGGTTAGGTTAGGTTAGGTTGGGTTAGGTTAGGTTAGGTTGGGGTTAGGTTAGGTTGGGTTAGGTTAGGTTAGGTTAGGTTAGGTTAGGTTAGGTTAGGTTGGGTTAGGTTAGGTTAGGTTAGGTTAGGTTAGGTTAGGTTAGGTTAGGTTGGGTTAGGTTAGGTTGGGTTGGGTTAGGTTGGGTTAGGTTAGGTTAGGTTAGGTTAGGTTAGGTTAGGTTAGGTTAGGTTAGGTTAGGTTAGGTTAGGTTAGGTTAGGTTAGGTTAGGCCAGGTTAGGTTGGGTTAGGTTAGGTTAGGTTAGGTTAGGTTAGGTTAGGTTGGGTTAGGTTAGGTTAGGTTAGGTTAGGTTAGGTTAGGTTAGGTTAGGTTAGGTTGGGTTGGGTTGGGTTAGGTTAGGTTAGGTTAGGTTAGGTTAGGTTAGGTTAGGTTAGGTTAGGTTAGGTTAGGTTAGGTTAGGTTAGGTTAGGTTAGGTTAGGTTAGGTTAGGTTAGGTTAGGTTGGGTTAGGTTAGGTTGGGTTAGGTTAGGTTAGGTTAGGTTGGGTTAGGTTAGGTTAGGTTGGGTTAGGTTAGGTTAGGTTAGGTTAGGTTAGGTTAGGTTAGGTTAGGTTAGGTTAGGTTAGGTTAGGTTAGGTTAGGTTAGGTTAGGTTAGGTTAGGTTAGGTTGGGTTAGGTTGGGTTAGGTTAGGTTAGGTTAGGTTAGGTTAGGTTAGGTTAGGTTAGGTTAGGTTAGGTTAGGTTAGGTTAGGTTAGGTTAGGTTAGGTTAGGTTAGGTTAGGTTAGGTTAGGTTAGGTTAGGTTAGGTTAGGTTAGGTTAGGTTAGGTTAGGTTAGGTTAGGTTAGGTTAGGTTAGGTTAGGTTAGGTTAGGTTAGGTTAGGTTAGGTTAGGTTAGGTTAGGTTAGGTTAGGTTAGGTTAGGTTAGGTTAGGTTAGGTTAGGTTAGGTTAGGTTAGGTTAGGTTAGGTTAGGTTAGGTTAGGTTAGGTTAGGTTAGGTTAGGTTAGGTTAGGTTAGGTTAGGTTAGGTTAGGTTAGGTTAGGTTAGGTTAGGTTAGGTTAGGTTAGGTTTTTTTTTTTTTTTTTTTTTTTTTTATTGCTAGTGGGCCTACCTCCCCGGCGACTTACGCCCCGGGGCCGAGGAAGCTAAGCTATAATTAAGTTATTCAGTACAAGTGTTTTATTTAGAAAATACAATTATTTGGTTTGGACATGGGTAGGGTGGTTGAGGGTTGTTTTTGCTATTTGATACAATTTCCTTCCCTCAACCACCCGATTAGAGTCCGCGTCTTATAAACTAATTTCTTATAACTAATTATACAAAGTTTTATTAATATTTTAGAAGGGTAATTATGGTAAAAAATATAAAAGTAACTTTTATAAGTCAATTTGTTTACAATTTTGGTTACGTTAAAGTTACTAAGCTAATTACAAAATCTTAGATGTAGGGTATTATGAGCTAATACATTTCTTTGTTGTTACATTTATGTTGCATTATATTATGATGGATGAATACAGTGGTAAAATGAAATATAAACTAAAATCTGAATATAAGGGTCTTATGGTTAACGTATTAATGTAAGGTTGTTTTTAAATTGACAATTATTATATAAGTTTAATTCCATATATTATGAACATTATACTTTGTAATAACAACAATGCTTTACTGTATGCAAGAGGAGAATATTGTACATTTCAAGTAAAGGCTTATAATATGGTAATGGTAAAAATTACAAACTGTTTCTTTGTTGTTAGATTGGTATTAAGTATATTATGATGGATGAATACAGTGCTAAAGTAAAATATATAAAGTAAAATTAAATATACAGGTCTTATGATTAACGTAATGTAAGGTTGTTTTAAAATTAACAATTGTTGTATAGGTTTAAGTTCGCATAATATTATGAGCATTATACTCTGTAATAACAATACTTTAAGAATATTTTACATGTAAATTAAAGGCTTATGATATGGCAATGGTAAAAATAACAAAATAACGATTGAGTTGGGGTGGATTACGAGCCTGTTATTTGTGGGTTATTGTAATCTTTGATGGCATCTATAATCTTAGTGACCATGCTTAGAAGGGATTCTATGGTTTGGGGTTTGTTGTCGATTAGGGAGTAGGGATTGTGGGATTTTCTATTTTTCTGTAAGTGACTGTATCTAAGGCGTTCGAAGCGTGGGCATTCCTCTATTAAGTGTTGGAGTGTCTGTGTAGTGTTTGTGTCGCAAGGGCATGTGTCGTTGTCTGTGATGTGGAAGCGTTTTAGGTGATCTTTGGCGAAGGAATGCCCAGTGAGTAGCTGTGTGATTTGAAATGTAGTGGGATATAGTTTAATAAATGTGTTGATGTTGTTGATGCTTTGTAAAAGGTGTTTAGTGTGTTTAGCTGTGGGTTCGTCGGTAAACCGTTTGTCCCACAGTCTGGCGGTATCTTGTTTGGCCCGCTGTTTGATGTATGCCATCGGGCATTGTGTGTAAAAGTATTTCGAATGGGAGTTTGCGGCTGATTTGGCCGCCTCATCGGCCGCCTCGTTGCCAGCTATACCGGCGTGACCTTTTACCCAGTTGAACTTAATGTTGATGTGTGAGTTGTTGGCAATATTTTTGTGTATGCTTGTGATTATGTTGTGTGTGTTGTTTGTTTGGCCGATCGCTTGTAGCGCGGCCATAGAATCGGAATTGATTGTGTACGAGTGTATGTTTTTGTTGTGTTGTTTAAGTGAATGTGCGATGGCCCAGTCGCTGGCTCCCTTTATGGCAACCAGTTCGGCCTGGAACACTGTGCATGATGGGTGTAGTTTCCGCTTCCATTGGTGTATTATTTGTGTGTTATTCGGGGAGTAAGCAACGTAAGCGGCTCCTGTTTGTCCCGCCTCTTGCTTGCTCCCGTCTGTGTATATGTTAATGGTGTTGTCGGCCGTGTGTTTGTCGAGGTTATTTTTATATGTTCGGTATTTGATGAGTGGTCTGGAGGCGGGGTGTAAGAGTTCTGTGAATGGTGTTGGTCGTTCAACTGGGATGTCATCCGGTATGTGTATGCTTACGCCTTTAATACGTGCTCCCTCGATCTCACAGGACTCGAGGACCTTAAGATCTAAGGGAACGAAACCCGCGAGAGCGACGGCCGCATTGGTGGAGACGTTTTTAAAAGCTCTGGTGGTTCGCAGAGCGAACCCACGTTGTGTTTTCGCAAGCAGTTTTTTGTTGTATCTTTTAGTGGCCGCGTGGCCCCAGATCGAGGCACCGTAAGTAATTATTGGCTCAATTACCATCTGGTAAATGAGCCTTATGTTTTCTGGGTGTGGTCCCCAAGTGGGTCGTGTGAATATTGTTAGTTTGTTAAAAATATGTGTTGCTTTGGCGGTTATATATGTTATGTGGTGTTTGAAATTAAGTTTGTTGTCCAAAATGATACCTAGATATTTGATTTTATGTGTGAACTGTAGTGAAGTGTGATTAAAGGTTATTTTGCAGTTTTGTGCCTGTTTGGAAAAGGCGATCATTTGAGTTTTGTCGGGGCCGAACTGAAGTTTAACTCCGTCGCCCCATTCTTTTATTGCGTTTAATGTGATATTCGTTTTATGCTCGAGTGTGTTGATGTCTGTATCTGTTATTACTAGTAGAACGTCGTCGGCGAAGGCTTGAATGTGGCACCCTGGTAGGAGTGGAGTGTTGAGTAGTGAGTTAAGGATAATGTTCCAGAGTATCGGGCCGCATGCCGACCCCTGGATACATCCCTTTTGTGTTGTTCGTGTGGTGCGTGTGTTGCCCATTTGGTGTGTTACTGTTCTATCTGTGAGGTAGTTTTGTATTAGTTTAAATATGTTAAGTGGGCATTTAACCGCTCGTAATCCACTCAATACGGCCGGCCACCAAGCGTTGTCAAACGCGGCCTTGATATCGAGGGATACGGCTATAGTGTGTTGTTTGTTTTGTTTAGCGTTGCGTATGATATCGAGAGTTTTGTGTAAAGCGTGTGTTGTGCCAGTTTGTTCGGTGAAGCCGTATTGCGATCGGTTCAGTAATTTAAGTTTATGCGCATTGTAAGTAAGGCGTTTTGTGAAGAGCTTTTCCAACACTTTCCCGAACACAGGGATTAACCCTATGGGTCGGAAGGAGCTTAGGCTAGTATAATCTAATTTGTTAGGTTTGGGGATAATTTTAACAATTGCCTCTTTCCAAGGGGTTGGAAAATGTGAGGTCTGTAGACAGCGATTCATTAAATTGGTGATTAATTCCGGGTAGTTACGGGCGAACACCAGGCAGATGTCGCTGGTGAGGTGATCATTGCCTGGTGCTTTGGTATGGCGGATGGAGTCTATTGCGGATAGGATTTCAGATGTGGTGAAGGGAGGGTCGTCCTCCGTGTCGGGTAGTGAACTGGAATTACTGCGCATATTTGTGTGATGACGTCCGTATCCGGGACGTCTTCGGGGTAAAAATGTGTAGTAGTGCCTGTGATGTCTCCTCCTCATTTCTTGTGTATTTATTGTTTACCTTAAGGGTGCGGGGTTGAATGGAGTTGTTTGATTTGAGTAGTCTGTTAGTTACAGACCAGACGTCTTCTGCGCCTTGTGCGTTGCAGAATAGTCTGAAATGGTCTGTAGATGCTTTCCTAAGTGTCTGTGTGTATACGAGTTTTGTCTCGTGATACGTGTTTATTAGGTCTGTAGGAGGTGTACGCTTGTGTTTTGAGTGTGTGTGTATTTTGTGGTGTAGGCTAATGCATTTATTTTTCAGGTGTTCGAGGTTTTCACTCCACCAGGGTGCTTGAGGCTTCCTCAATCCTGTCTTGATTGCGAAAGATTCCAAGCAGGCGTTGTTTATTGTGTCAGTGAGGGATAGAACAAACTCGTCTAACTGTTGTGGTGATAGTGTAGATATATTTGTTTTAAGCGTGTGTTGTTGAGTTATTAATGTGTGGAGTCTTTCTTTGAAGGTGTGCCAATTTGCCTTGCTGGTGTTGTACTTAAATGTGCTATTATTAGTGGCGTGTGGTATAGGGTCCGTTTGGCAATCCAATACGAATCCTATAGGATTGTGTTGTGTGGATGGAAATAGGCGCTGTTTTACCTCCCATTTGTGTATTTGGTGGTATGTGTGTGTGGATGAGAGCGTGAGGTCGATGATAGATGACCTCTCCGTTCCGTGTGTTATTGTTTCGAATGTGGGTGTGTTGCCTGTGTTGTTTATGTGTAGGTCGTTAGAGTTAATGATGTCGGTTAAGTATAGTCCCCGTGTGTTACTTCGGGGGCTGCCCCAAAGCATGTGCCACGCGTTGAAGTCGCCGCCAATTACGATGTTTGAGTTATTGTGTGTTTTTGTGAATGTATCTAGTATGTCTAGGGTGTTATTGGTGTCGGTTTTCGGTTCAACGTAAACCGACGCAATGTATAGAGTTTTTGTTTTAGTGGGTATAGCAATAACTACTATATTCCCTGTGGTGTATTGAGATATGATGTGTGCGTTGATGTCTGTGCGGGTTATAATGCAGGCTTTCGTTGTGTTCGCCGAATCGGACTGAAACACGCGGAGGCCTGCAATATTTTTAACTGTGTTATTGTATGTGTAGGGTTCGGATATGATGGCGATGTCAAGTTTATTTGTGATAAAGTGGTGTTTGAATTCTTGAGTGGCGTTGCGAGACCGGTCAAGGTTCGCCTGAATGAATTTAATGTTTTTGTGCATGTTTAGATGTAATTAACTTTGGCCTCAACGCGGGCACGCATAGCTTTAACTTTGGGGCAGTTTTCAGAGTCGGCGCGGTGTTGTGTGTCGGTGTTTGTTTTGTATTGGGCGTTATGTTCATTGCAATTGGCACACTTGTGTGTTTGCGCCTTGCACTCTGTAGTGGGATGGTGAGCAGAGCACTTAGCGCATGTTGGTGTGGTTGCGGGGCAGCGGCTCTTGGTATGGCCGAAGTTAAGGCAGTTTTGACACTGCCTAAACGGTGAGAAGTTGCTGCAATGGACGCGCTGCATCCCTATGTTTACCCTGCCTAGGTCGGCAAGTGCCTTCCAGGCAGAGGGTGTGGTATTAAGTACTGCGTTATATAAAGTTACGTTCCTGTTTTGGGCTATAAATTTAATGCTAAAGGTGTGTTCGGTGAGGGTTGGGTTCTGATCTTTTATGGTTTTTTCTAATTCGATTTCGGGTGTTATTTTTTTGATACCTTTGAGGATGATCATCGGATCGATCCGTTTCTCTTCTTGTGTTTTGATGTTGATGTTTTTTTGTAGCTGTGTGACTGTATGTTTTTTATGCTCGTCTTTTTCAAAGACGAGCTTAATTTTATTTTTAGAGAGCGGAGTTACCTTTAACGGGGCGTATCCGCCCTGTCGGAAGTTCACTGTTTGAGTTATTTGCGCAATTATCTGCTCCGCTGTATTGAGGCCCTCTCCGGACACTACGACAGAAGGGCCTGCAGGGGGTTTGGGGGTGGCGGCGGCCTTGGCGTAGGATTGATAAATCCTATGCGGGTCCTCCGCCCCTGGCATTAACCCCGTCGGTGCGGGTTTAGGACATGCCTTTAGGACCCTGGTGTGTTCCTGCAGGGCCTTATTAGATTGCTCGAGTAACCGAGAGTGGGCCTCGAGTTTGTGTAGTAGTTGTTGCTGTGTGTCATTAGATGGTGCAGTCGTGGTATCAGTGGCCTGTGGTGTGAGGGGTTTGGGAGGGGAGGGGGTGGAAGGGTCGAGCATGGCGATGACTCCAAAGAGGCCGTTTATTGCCTCTGTGATCGTGGTCTTGAGCTCACTCTTAAGGTTGCGGGAGGCTAATAACGCGTCCAAGCCTTTCTTTCTGTAGTCTCTCGCCATCTCTATATATGTGGACTCCGCAGGGGGAGCTGAACGGGCAAAGGACGGGCTCAGGGTGTCCACTAGGGACCTCCTAGCAGCTGCTGTGGTCGTCTGAGGCGACGGCATGTCAGATTTAGATGATTTGGGAGGGGTTCTTGGTAACATGTCTGCGAAGGGGGGTGAGGGGGGGCTAAAATATGGACCGGTGTGTACACCTCTTCGAGCTGAGTTGTTTGATACCCAACTCGAGGGGGTGGGGGTGAGGGGGAAGATTTTGTAGCTATGGGGGGGAAAAACCTGTATTGTGGGATGGGGGGGGGTTTACGAAAGGAACAGTGAACGCTATTAAATAGAACTCGCCAAGCCGGTTTGAATGAGCCCAAGCTCGATGGGTTTAGTGTAAAATTTGTAAAATGTTAAAAATCTGAAAATATGGGGCTGGTAATCCACCCTACCTTGTGTTAAGGACCAGGATTGCTCGCCAGCTGTTGCTCGTAATGTAGTGGTGATAGGTGTTTTCTGGCTGCCCGTGGAGAGGACAAGTTGTTGGTGTTGGAGCAGGAGCTGTTCCAGCTGGTCGCCTGATGACTTGGTGTCCAGTTGGGCAGGTGAAAAAGTGTGATGTGCGGTTTGGAACTAATCCGATGGAATCTTGTGCGGGCTATAAGATGGTGGTAGATTCCGATTTTTCGGAGGTGTGGATCCCCTGGAAACCCTGGATTCCAAGCTATTCCTGGTCGTGGTTCCTAAATTACTGGGCGAATATTGATGATACTGGTGTCAGTCGGTAGGTTATTTTTTGTACTTGGTCCTTATCGTAATTTTGATTTGGTATTCTAATGTTTGGGGTGGTTCACCCCAAAAACTGTTTTCTTGGGGTTTGAGGGGATATTCCTCCTCCGATTTGGACGTCCGATATGTCTTTAGTTGCCTTTCCGTCTAGCGCTTCTATAGAATGTAAAAAATGGTTCCTATCTCTAGGGGCTGCAGGCTGGGCGATAAAACCCCTGGTTTGGTCTCTAATAAATCAGCCCTTATTCCAAAAATTTAAAATTGGGTATCAAACGATAGCCCTTAATGAGTACAATCTATTTAAGCTATAAAAACATGTGGTTGTCGATCCAAATTAAAAGTTATTCACCTTTTTAGGTTTTTGCTCCAGATTATCTTCAACTTTGAGTCCTTATCCTCAAATTTTTTGTCGAAATGTAGAGCTTAATTAGCTCTACAACACTGCACTACTTTTTTATTTTTAAAGTTATAAACACTATTTTTAAAATGGTAAAAACGGAAAATTTTAAAGTTTTTTGAAGAAATAAAATATAAAACGTGAACTTAAAAAACTAAATTTAACACTAAAAGATAGATCGCGATAGCGCGCATCTAATGATATATAACACTGCACTGATAACTTGCGAAATACCACTTTTAAGATTTTTAGAAACTTTTAAGGCGCGGAGCGACGTGGATTT